AGTGAGGCTATGAAGTCTCAAGATGTTGCTTTTTGGAAAGAAGCAATAAATGATGAGATGGACTCCATCATGGGAAATAATACTTGGATCATGTCGGATCTCCCACCCGGTTGCAAGCCTTTAGGCTACAAATGGATCTTCAAAAGGAATATGAAAGTTGATGGAACAATCGACAAATTTAAAGCTCGATTGGTTATTCAAGGCTTTAAACAAAGGGAAGGTACTGATTATTTCGATACATATGCTCCAGTTGCTAGGATCTCTTCTATAAGATTATTAATAGCTTTGGCAGCAATTAATAACCTTGTGGTTCACCAAATGGATGTTCAGACGGCATTCTTAAATGGTATTCTGGAAGAAGAGGTGTATATGAAGCAACCTGAAGGTTTTGTTATGCCTGGAAATGAGCAAAAGGTGTGTAAGTTGATCAAATCATTGTATGGGTTAAAGCAAGCACCTAAACAGTGGCATCAAAGATTTGATGAGGTTGTCTTATCAAATGGTTTTAAGTTAAACCAATCTGATAAGTGTTTGTATAACAAATTTGATGAATCCGGTAACGGAGTAATCATTTGTTTGTATGTTGATGACATGTTGATCTTTGGTACTGAACTTAGAAAAGTAGAGCTTACACAAGTATTTTTGTCATCAAATTTTGAAATGAAAGATATAGGAGAGGCAGATGTGATTCTTGGAATTAGAATCAAACGTGAAAACAAAGGACTATCTTTAACACAATCTCACTACATTGAGAAAGTTATTAAGAAGTTCAATTATGAGAATTGTTCTCCAATAAGCACTCCCATGGATCCGACTGTGAAGCTTATGCCTAATACAGGACAAGCAGTATCTCAACTCGAGTATTCACAAGTGATTGGGTGCTTAATGTATGCCATGACGAACACCAAGCCAGATATAGCTTACACTGTAGGAAGGTTTAGTAGATACACTAGTAATCCCAGTACTCAACATTGGCAAACCTTAAAAAGGGTGCTCGAGTATTTCAAAGGAACCATTAATTATGGTTTGTCATATGTCGGATTTCCTTCGATGTTAGAAGGGTATTCAGATGCAAGTTGGATTACCAACATAGAAGATCATTCTTTTACAAGTTGTTGGGTGTTTTTGCTTGGGGGAGGTGCCATTTCATGGGCCTCTAAGAATCAAACTTGCATTACAAGTTCGACTATGGAATCGGAGTTCGCAGCATTAGCAGCCGCCGGTAAAGAGGCAGAGTGGCTACGAAATTTAGTGTACGAAATTCCATTGTGGCTGAAACCAGTATCACCAATTTCTATCCATTGTGATAGTCAAGCTACCTTGGCTAAGGCCTATAACCAAGTGTATAATGGTAAGTCTAGACACATGTGCGTTAGACATAGCGCAGTACATGAGCTGATCACTCATGGGGTGATAACAATAGAGTTTGTTCGGTCTCAACAAAATTTAGCTGATCATTTGACGAAAGGATCAGCTAGAGACTTAGTGATTAAGTCTGTGAAAGGGATGTGTTTAAAGTCCATTTGAAATCTTTAATGGTGGGATACCCAATTTTCCCTCTAATACGACGTTAGAGGCTGAATTCAATGTGGAAAGCCTACACTTAAAGATTGAAGCACTTTTTTTTTATTTAACCCCAAAGTATGTGCTTGGACCTGCAAGAAGAGTTAGGTTGAAATATATTCTTAATAAATACTTTGAAAAAATGTATTTGCAGGTGCATGACTGAAAGTATTTACCTATATGAGTGTGAAGTGATGCCGCTTCAATAAGCTGAGACTTGGCTTTGTATGCACTCATGAATGGATAGGGACACATGGCTTATAATAGTGTCAAGTATAACATTTTGAGTAGTGTGGAAACACGTGTGTGTATTATCTTCATATATTCAAAATGGGCTGAGGGATTCAATCCGTAGGACATCCTGATTCTCGGATATTTGGAATGGGTAATACACTAATATGAAAATTCAATTCTTCGAACATTTTCATTTATGCATGAGTTTGATATACGTATTATTTATTTAATGAATCTATGATTACACTTAAATGGGGGAGGATTGTTATATATTTAAGTGAATGTAAATGGGTGCAAGTGTTTATTTGAACCATTGCAATTGTTTATATGAACAAATACAACCTTTGGTAATAAACATAATGGCAACCTTTGGTAATAACTACCTTTATAATTGCAACCCTTGGTGATTAACCATTGATAATTTCAACCATTGGTAATAACTACCTTTATGATTGCAACCCTTGGTGATTAACCATTGCAACTCTTTAACTAACCATTGCCACTCTTCATTAACCGTTGCAAACATTAGTATTAACTATTTCAACCATTGGTTGCAACCTTTCATTCTTTATATAAAGGGATGTAGGCATTGGCAGATAATATAGAAAAAATCAGAAACAAATAGTTAGTAAAAGAGTAAGAGAGAAATATATTCATTGTTCAAAGATCATCAAAGATCTTTGAAGAACACATATAAACACTAAAACTTCTTTTTGTTTCTCTTGTATCTTAACCTAGAACAAGAGTGAGACTTTGACTGTCTTATCCTACAAAGGGATTTCGTGTAACCCAAAGGTTTGGAATAGGGTCGAAATACTCTTTAAGGAAAGTGACCTCGTGCGCGATTAAATCATTATCCAAGTATATAATTCACAACTTTCTGGGTTACAACCCATTTAACCAACAACCTCGGGAAATAGTTGTTGGTATCCGTATGACAATAGGGAAAACGTTGGTATATGTCCATGCATCTAGAAACTGCTGGTATTGCAGAAATGTGCTTCTTCCATACTTGGCCGGGAGATTTGTGATCCCTCCTTCCAATAGCTCCTGAAAGTTATGTGATATTATTTTTCTGTCAGAATGTAACCAGATTAATTGTATATGTTCTTGATTTTGGATTACTTCAAATACACACATGGTGAAGTTGCAATCAGATCTCAAAACCCAAATTACTGAAATATCATAGGTTTGGAAAATGTCTCTAAAGGTTTGTTCGTTTTCCTCTTTTATATTTTGTTGAATCTGAGTATGTTTATCAGAATGAGTTATCTTGTTCGACAAAGCTCAGCTCATGATGAGTTCAGATCATTAGATAGTTCATCTCAATTAGTTTATTATATGAGTTTCATTATGTAAACCGAACTCAGATCATCTTGATCATGAGTGAAATGAGTTAGCTTGTGATCAACTAAATGTACAATCCGGACCTTGGAAGACATGTTAAGAGCTTGTGTACTGGACTGGGGTGGTTCCTCGGAAAGACATTTACCCGTAGTAGAATTCTCTTACAACAATAGCTTCCATCAAAGTATAGGCATGTCTCCATACGAAGCTCTGTATGGGCGTCCAGGTAGGACACCCTTATGTTGGACCCAAGTGAGGGAGCGCAGCATGATTGGACCGGAGATCGTCCAAGAGACGACCGAAAAGATCAAGTTCGTGAGGGATGCCATGAGGGAAGCACATGACCGCCAAAAGAACTATGCAGATCGACATAGGAAGCATCTCGAGTTCTCAGTTGGTAACCTGGTGTACCTCAAAATTATTACCTTCAAAGGTCGGGCCAGAATTTCCGAGGTACTTGGGGCCGTTCAAGGTCATGGAAAGAGTTGGTATGGTGGCATACAAGTTGGATTTGCTAGCCAAGATGGATGCATTTCATAATGTGTTCGATGTCTCTCAACTCCGGAAATGTGTGACGGACCAAGACATCGTCCTTCCTGCTATTCCTGGTGATCTAGGTACGAACCTAATCTTAGAGACAAGGCCGGTTCATATCGTGGCCAGGAAAGAAAAAGCAACAAGGAAGAAAATGGTCCAGATGATCAAAGTCGTTAGGGACTGTAATGGGAAAGATATCATCACTTGGGAAACATAGGCTAGGATGGAAGCTGAGTACCCTGAGTGGTTTGAACAATTTGTTTCTGAGGAAAGATCCAACTCGGATTCGAGGACGAATCCATTGCAAGTGGGGGAGACATTTAGCATCCCCGATCCTAGATAGGATTGTCGGGACGGACCATGGCTCGATGAAACGAGATGCTGATCAAATTGATCCAAAGTCAAACGTGCCATGATCAAATAAGGTTAAGATCACAAAGTCTTAACCAAACGATGATGAGAAACCAGCTAAAGGAGCTGGGCGAGTAATACAATAGCTGGACGAAGTGTAGGGGCAGCTCGATCAGCTAAATAAAGCTTGGGCAAGGTCAATCCAGCTCAGACCAAGATAGGTCAGCTCAACGAGCTGAACTACTAGCTCACTCAGCTAGGCTAGCCGGGAGCCAGCTCAACTCAGCTGGACAGAGTGTTCCATGGTTGGGTAGTGTGCCCGGGTCCGGGCCGTGGCGGGCTTGTTAGGTCTGGACAGGTGGCTTGGGTCTGGTGGGTCCTTGGGCTGGTCTGTGGGCTATTTCAGAAGGGCTTGGTGTCTGTTTGAGCCGGATATCAGCCCATTAAAGGACAGTTTAAGCGCAAGGGTGCATGCGGCCAAAGGGTGGGACTTGTTGTCCAAGTTGTTCCCATTCGCCCCTGTCTGATCATTTTCTATAAATAGAGGGCCTCTCTGTTGATTTATTCATTCAGTTCCAGAGAAAAATAATCAGAGAAAATCGTGAGGGAGAAAGCAAGAAGAAGAGAGAGAGTTTCGGCCAAGAGAGGGTCGTTTAGGGTTGGAGTTTTCCCACGAGTTCTGGAGAAGGAATTCCGATTAATATGGGAGGATCAGGCAAGGAGAAGAACGTGGACAACCCTGAGAATGGTTCCAAGGTATGTGATGAACCCAACGAGCCTTCAAACCCAACATGCGGCCATAATGGTCGGTTCTATGGTCTGATGGGTTCAATGGTTACATCTAATTTCTCCTTATCTATTTCAATTCATTCTTCTTCTTCTCTTTCTGGTAAAAGATGAAGGGTTGTGATGGTTGGGTCCAAGGAACACGTCTCTAGACTTAAATCGGTTCATAACCAAACCACAACCTAGACTACGGGTTGGTTATGCGGCCAATCCGGATCGTTCCAAAGGTGGCGGTTGGACTGAACGTTTGGGAATGTCCCAAGGGGCACGACTTGTCAAAGGACTCGAGTTGCCAAGAGGCACGAGTGGTCTAGATAAACGAGTGTTCTAAGGTCATATGTGGCAAAGGTTGTGAGTTACCAAAAGATGCAAGTAACCAAAAGGTACGAGTTACCGAAGGTTGCGAGTATCAAAGGGTAGTAGGACCAAAGGGTACCTGTTGGGGTCAAAATCGGTCACCACGGAATCAATGGCTAAAAGTCCCGGAAAAAGCATACAAGAAAACTCTAGACTTTCTACGGAGATACGAAGTTACGAAAAACTCGTATCAAAGTATGAAATAACTAAAAAGACCTCTTGTCGAGGTCAAAAACGGTAATCTCGAAATCAACGTCTACGAGTTCAAAAACGGTAATCTCGAGAAGACAAGAAACTACCAAAACTCTCCGCAAAGTTCAAAATAAGTTTATAGAAATACGAAAAAGCATTGAGGAGAATTCTAAAGACTCTCCGAACAAACGAGCTCCATAAACTTAACAATCGCCATCATGGAAATCATCGGAAAATCGAATAAAGCAACCCACGGTTGTCCGACGACCCAACTTAGCAAGATCGGCTGTAACATCCAACTCGCTAAAGTGGCAAGAATGTCCAAGATCATCCGGATCGCCAAGCCAGCGAGCTGGCCGTCCCGAACCAGCTCGCCGTCTTGGCGAGCTTGACCGTACCGTCCATGTCACCAAGCCGGCGAGCTGGCCGTCCCAAACCAGCTCGCCGGATTGGCGAGCTGGACCGTGCCATCCAGCTCGCCAAGCCAGCAAGCTGGTTCGGGACGGACAGCTCGCCGACTTGGCGAGGTGGACCGTGTCAACCAGCTCGATCGTCAAACGGGCTAGATCTGTAGTAACACAACTCATAGGCGAGTTTGTTATGAGATCTGCTGTATGTTTTGGCTTCGAGATTTGTACTGATAAACCGGGTTGAAGGGGACTCAAATTGGTGTTGCTAGAAGAAACAAGCTGAAGTGGAAACTGTGGTCTCACAGGCTGAAAGCTTAGCTTAGGAAACGCCGGAGTTTGGTGGATTCGTTGACAAATGTCGTCCCATTTCTTTTGTACAGAAGCTAATGTGTTTGGATCATCTTTAGCCTGCACTGAATGAGAAGTACACACTCTCATCAACATAGTAACTTTGAGACATTTGAATGCAGTAGAAGGAGATTGTTTTATAATAACCACACCTGTCTGAGAACCCCTTTCTCTTGTTCAGATTCTACAATACGTAAACAAGAGGGTAACTTCTCTGAAGACTGATCATCGGTGGTCATCGAACTGGACTTACCTAAGGCTGTGACTTCTTGCTCACACTTTTCGTTACAGAGATGACACCGAGGAAGACGAGACTGGTTCATTGAGTTACTAAACGGTACTCTGAAATCTGATGTTGATGAGAAGAACCCTCCAAATGGGACAAATGATCCCATCAAACTGTAGATGAAAACCACAAAACGCATCGTTTCAAACAAAAACTGTTTAAACTTTCCTAACATTAGAAACAAAAACATTTATTAGAAAAATCTTAAATATCAGAAATTTAATCCAAAAATCTTAATTGTCCAAAATAATTACGGGACTGACTAAAATTATGCGAAAATATGAAACTAAGCTAAACGAAATTAAATTATTTTTTTTTCAAATACAGTATTAGATATTTCTAATTTCTGTTGACAAAAAAAAGATATTTTTGAATTTCTAATCTTATTGCTCAAACTAAAACCGAAAGTTGAAATAGCTAAACTAAAACCGAACAAAACTTCATAAATGTCCGAACTTATTCTATATTTCTATTGTTTTATTTTTGAAACATACTTTTTTGTTTTTGAAACACATTACCTTGACTTAGGATAATCTCCTTGATTCGAAGATGTAATAGGAAGAAGATGAAGATTCCAGTCCTTGTCAATCGTCGGAAACCTCTTCACCAGTTTCAAATACAGCTCATTGCTCGAAACACTCCTGATGGACCAGAGCCTCTCATGGTGAATCTTCAAAATCTCCGAGAGCCTCGACACAAGAGCATCACCGATCAAGACCTTGACCTCTCTTAGATTCAAAACCACCATCCCCGGTTTCGAACTCGAGCAGCTTTGCTCCACGATTCTCCCTAACTCATCAACTTTCATCTCACTAATCTCTTTCTCTACACTAACTACACTTAACCCACTAATCTCCAGAGGTAAAAAAGCCAACTTCCCTCTGTTGATCGAATCACTAAACGTTTTGAATGCTTTACCACCGCAAGTCCTGACAAGAAGAGGATTCTTCTTGTTTTTCCGACCCAACACTTCACCTATTCTCTGACAGTTCTGGTCGAAATCTCCCCCAAACATGAACCTAGCCCGACCAGAACCAGATTCGGAAACGTTACATAGAAACAGAGGGGGACAACGAGTGCGCGGAAACCGCGTCACAGGAGGGTGAAGCACGTCGAGCATAATATCAGTGCTCCGAAACCCGACTTCACCGAATACCTGGCTCACAATCGGGTCATCGAATATCAACAATATAAAGTATTTAATCTCAACCATCAGAAAAAGAAAAAGAAAAGTACTCATGCTCAACCTTCAAAACCGACGTTGTTTGATCAGAAAAATAAAGATACTTAAGCTCAACCTTCAAAACCAGACCGTCCAGATCGTCAAACCGGCGATCTTACCAAGTCATTCGGCCCGGCACCAGCCAAGCCAAACCTCACCATCCCCACTGCCTGGACACAAAGCATATTCCCCTCGACTCGATCGTACCCTGAACCGTGATCCAGACGTCTCTTATTTTGTCTCTATCCGTATTATTGTTGGAACTTTACGATAAAAACCGCTAAAGACTTGTTTTCTCGTAAAGACTCGAGTAAATCGTATAAAATGGTAACGGTTAATTAAAACACCATAGATTACCAAACTATACGATTGACTCAAGATGTTATATTAAAACGACATCGTATCACATAACGATCCCGTCTAAAGTCGTAAAACGGCTAAGGCACAAAACGGCCCGAAAGGTCCTAAAACGCGATAAAGGCTCACATGCGTCTTTAGAAGGATAAATATGGAGATCGAGATAAATAGAACATTTCCGATAAACACGAATCAAAGTGGAAAAGGAAAGACTAAACCGTCTAGAAAAGGAGTATATAAGCACAATGTCAAAGCCAAGAAGAAGGAGGACTTTTAAAAATTTTCTAGACTTAGAACTCTCTGCACTTAGAAACTTAAGCTTTATTCTCGACAAGTCTGGTTTCTATGACGAACTCACCCAGGCAGTTCGATCTCTTGTCCATCTCTATCAATTTAACTATGTTCGGCTTGATCCTCGAAAAGGGTACGTAGGCAGCCTTTCATAAGATTCAGTCCGAAATCAATAAAAACCCTTTTTCGTATCTTTTTCGTCTTTTGTTATCGAGCTACGAATCAACTAGGATTAAGGTTTTCCGTTGCTAGAACTAGATAACTCTCTGACAGCTCTTGTGGCCAAAGCTTTTGTAATCTCTTGTAATAATCGCAACGCTCTTATGTGGATTCAAAATAAGATCTACTTTCTTTATAAATTCGTTGTATCATATTTTTTTCATATTTTCCGCATTTATTTGGTTACTTTTCGTTGTCACTTGCAAAGATCCGGGACCTCTGAAAAATTAGGGTTTTCCTAAGTTTCCTTATTTTACGGAAATCGACAGTGCGAATTTTGGTTCCCACAGTTTAGCGCTAAAAGGAAAGGGGGGTAAGAAATAACTCATAGCCGCAAAATGCTTGATCAAAAAGATGTCTGGATATATGAAAGACAAAGTCGCAGTTCGCAAAAACGCTGGTAAAAAAAATCCAGCAGCGACTACTCCTATAGCCAACGCTCACACAAACACTGTAGTACTTAATAAAATTGAAAACCTGATCGCGACTATTCGCCATGGGAAGAGCAACAAAACAAGTTCGCGATTTCTCTCTGTGAACACAAAGGGCATATATAAAATCTATCAAACCCTGTAATATTTTTCTTATTTCCGAGTTGGAAAAATCTCATTCCGTATGGGTTGACCAAAAGACGTTCTCCGAGAACTTTTTGGAAAAATAAAACTTGCTCTCCCAGAAACTGCGTAAAAACCTTAGGCAACTCCAAGAAAAAACCCTAGGTTAGTCACGGAAAAACCCTAGGTTACTCGCAGAAAACCCCTAGGTTACTCGCAGAAAAAGCCCTAGGTTACTCGCGGAAATATCCTAGGTTACTCGCAAAAAAATCCTTAGGTTACTTGCTGGAAAACCCTAGGTTGCTCGCAGAAAAAACCCTAGGTTACTCGCAGAAAAACCATAGGTTACTCATGGAAAAAGCCCTAGGTTACTTGAGAAAAAACTTTAGGCAACTCGCGGAGTTGGCCGTACTATCCAGCTCCCCAATACGGCCAGTTGGACGATACTATCCAGCTCGCCAAGACGGTGAGTTCGCCAAGCAACCCAACTCGCCACCTCGGTAAGCTGGTCGGCATTTATCCTCCCCCTCGAGGCACTGACTTTGCCCAAGGGTCCTTACCATCCAGTTCACCAAGACGGAGAGCTGGCCATACCAACTCAGCTCACCGGCTTGGTGAGCTGGCCGAGACAATTCATCTCGCCAAGACGGCTAGTTGGCCGAACCAACCCAGCTCGCCACCTCAGCAAGCTGGTTTGCCTTCCTCCTAACCCTCGAGGCATTAACTTTTCCCCGAGGGTCCTTACCATCCAGCTTGCCAAGACGGCGAGCTTGCAGTACCAACTCAGCTCGCCGGCTTGGTGAGCTGGCCGAGAAAAATCAGCTCGCCAAGACGGCGAGCTGGCCGAACCAACCCAGCTCGCTTCCTCGGTGAGCTGGTCGGCCTTGCTCCTCGCCCTTTAGGAACTGACTTTGCCCCGAGGGTCCTTACCATCCAGCTCCCCAAGACGGCAAGCTGGCCGTTCCAACCCATCTCGCTGAGCTGGCGAGCTGGCCGAGACAGACCAGCTGCCCAAGACGGCAAGCTGGTCGGCCTTTCTTCTCGCCCTCGAGGAACTGACTTTGCCCCGAGGGTTCGCACAATCCAACTCGCCACCTTGGCGAGTTGAGTAATATTGATTGTACTCCAAACAATAATCGCACTACTTTTCGTTTCGTCTCAATCGGAGTTTCCGTTGAGATTTACGACGAAAACAAGTCAGCTCGACGAATCAGGACTGTACTCAACGACTCGCCAGTGGGAAAGTTGGAAAACCTTGATGGATTGAAACGTTTCTATCTTGAATCTCGATTGAAACGCTTTTCGTTTTGTCCCAATCGGAGTAACCGTTGGAACTTTACGATAAAAACCACAGAGACTTTCTTTCTCGTAGAAGTTCGAATCGATCGTCTAAAACGGCAACGGTTGACTCAACACCAAAGTTGCCTAAACTACACGAGAGATTTGAACTCTTTAAACGCAATCCAATTTTAAGAAATTCTGCCACGTTAAGTCGAAAACATCTAATTATAAATGTGTGATGGATTTTTCAAAATTATACAAAGCATACCTAGTCAATTAAGTAAAACCAGCAGTACTAAGAAACAAGAACATAAACTCCGATGTTGAAATCCCTTCCTCACTCCGATACTCTTGTTGGCATTTCATCGAAGACCGATTCATACGAAAATAAGTCAAAAGACAAAGAACGAAGAAGAGGCAGTCGCAAATCATCGATGAAACTAAGGTGTGTCTGATTTGAAAATTTTATTAGACTACTAATTTCTCGTAAGCAAGGAATGATTTTAGACGAGATCGTTTCCTGATACGATGCCGTTTTTATAAGACTTCTTGAGTTAACCATATAGTTTGCCAATGTACGATGTTCCGTCTAATCGTTGTCGTTTTATACGATCTTCCCGAATTCTTGCTAGAAAAGAAGACTTTTACGAGTTTTATCGTAAAACTCGAATGGTAAGACGGATCGAGATGAAACAAGAGACGTTTTGACCATGATTCAGAGCACGATCGAACCAAAGGACATTTGCCTTGCGTTGAGGATGCGTAGGAGCGAGTCTCGGGATAGTCAGTTCGACGTACAGTGAGCCGAACCGGATTGGTTCAGCTCGCCGTACGACGAGCTGATTCGAGGTGATCAGCTCGCCGTACGGGACGAACCAGTTCGCCGGCTACTTATATCGTCCGACATGGAGATCATACCATCGGTCGATATAGCCGGCAGTCAGATCAATGGACGAGTCTAATAGCGATAGCTTTAGACTTATCTAAGAGTTGAAGTTCTTTATAATTTTGCAAGCAACTTATAAAGACATCTATAGCATTATAATCCTGATTATCTTAATAGTAAACTTGAATCTAACTACCTTCTTTTATTGTTTAAAACCTAAACCAAACTCTCTTGAGCAACTCACCATTGCTCACAACTGCAATTTACTTTTAAACCTTAATCAACCTAGCATAATCACTTAGGATTTTATCTTTTGTGTTCCTTAGTTCCTTGTGGATTCGATCCCTAAGTACTACAATTGAACCTCTTATTTGAGAGAGTAATTCACTCCTTAGGGTAATTTGAGTGATATAAAATTTGGCGCCGTTGCCAGGGAACTAAGATTGCCATTAGATTTAATTTGATTAGGTCTTGGTTATTTTTCTTTTTATTGCTAAATTATCTTCTGACACATTTTTTTTTTTGTCTCTTTCAGGTACATGCCTAGTAGTACTACAAGCAACAAGAACAACTAACTTGTGTATTCAGAAGCTACTCACAGTTTGGAACGTAGCATCCGCAAAGACTTACGTTCCACATCGATCGACATCAACAACCATTCATCGATAGATACTCACTTACCACAGTCGACCGAGACACCTTCAACATCGACTGATACTCGCACCCTTCCATCGATCGACATCAACAACCGTTCGTCGACCGATATCTTTCATCCGACATCGATCGATACTAACCGGCGAGACATGATAGCGACTATTATTCTCACAATTGATGAGAATGGAGACCTGCGTGATCAAGATGGTCACCTGCGTAATGCAGCAGGTCAAAAGCTGAATGCTCAGAAGGACATCATTATTGAGCAAGAGACTGCACCTACATATCTTATTCATCAATCTGTAGAAGAGGCTAACAGACCTAGAACTTTGGCTGACTATAACCGTCCGGATCAGTTCTACAGTAACCGATCAGCCATACGCCC